GACCTCAGCAGACACAGAAGGAGGGGCAGGTGGGAGCAAACCCAGGGGACTGGATGTATTGGAATCCAGAGGAGGGGAGGGTTTCCAGCCAGAGGCAGTGAACAGCCATGTCCAGGGCTGTGGAGGATGGAAATTTGGCCACTGGATTTAGCAATGGGTAAGATTTGGATGACTTGGGAAGGGCACATTTGGTGAGATCATGAAAGGCAGATTCCAGGTGAAGCTATGTTCAGAGATTCCAGACCAAGGAGGCCCCACCTAGGGCTTGGGATCTGCATTTTAACAAGTTTCCTGGGGTGATTCCGAAGTGACATAGAACATTCATCCAGAATACAGTGCTGTTCCTTGGCAGGCGTGTCTGGGTTTTGTGCCTTGAGAGAGTGACTTGTGATGTGGTCCTCTGAAGCCTTTATACGATACCAGCCTCCTAGTCACCTGGGATTCAGGGGGACTCTGCCAATGCTGCCCTCAAAGCCAGGCTCTCATCCACCTGCTCATCTGTTCACGCCACCAGCAGTGCAGTGGAGCTGGCTTGACGGGACCCTGAGTCAGAGTTAAGGAGCTTTCCTTGTTCTTTTCTACTTCTTCATAAACCACCTGTCTAATGATGTATTCTGTTATTTTTCTGGGAATTAATATCCTTCATGTGAATTGATGATTTCTAGAATGACCTCTCTCCTTTTTTGGAAATAATGTGAACTCTTGCGTACCTTCTATTTCCTACATCTTTATCACTAATATTCTGCAACTTTTAATTTGCACTTTTCATAAATATTATCCCTTTAATGACATGAAGAGCAGATGATTCAGAACAGAGGAAATGACTTAAGAACGTGACTTTGGCCCAGAGAGGTGTGCAGAGCCGCAGTGGCTGACCTCCCTCGTCTTTCTCCCTGTCTCTCCCACTTCCCAGCTGCTCCCGGCAGCTGCTGAAATACCTGCCCGGGACTTCCTGCAGCCACTGGAATTTTGAGTGCAGTTCCGCAGGAATTTTAAAAACTCCTTGTTACATTTTTTCACATTCAAACGTCATTTAAACAGTTTATACCTCTAGTTTTTCTTTCTCACGTTACAAAATGTTTGGAATCTTTGCTTATGGAGCTAGCTCCTGATGGTGGTCCCAGCTCCGCCTCCCGGAGCTCTCAAGTTAGCTTTAAAAATACTGTTTACAGGAGCTGTGCTGGAAACCACCTGATCATCCCGTGGGTGCAGCGGATTCACGGACAGACTTGATCTTCCTTAGGGATTGCATGCAAATCCACATAGAGTTCTAGATAAAATTACCTGCCTTGTGGAAGAGAAAAGGCACGGATTTCAAAATGAAATGTGAATAGCATTTTCATGCTAGCTGCCCCTTAGGGCAGTTGCCAGGAAGGGATCCAGAAGGCAGGACTGTCCTGAGCCATGGTCAGCAGCCCCGGCGTGCGGCGATCGGGCTTCATCGGGCTGTTTGCTATTCACACAGACTCCAGAGTCCACGCTGAGTCCAGGGAACGCCAGATCTTCTTTCGTTTCGTTTCGTTTTCATTCTGGGGAAAGTGAAGAACAAAATTAAGCACCCTCAGGCAAGTTCAAGCTAAAATGTCTCTTTGAAGGCAGAACTCTGAAGTCTAAGAGGTGACACTCTCGGGATTATTTTTCCATTGGTACTTCAGGTTCTTTGTGGTTAAAAACCTTACTGCTTTTAAATGAAAAGTTAACTCTACTGCTGTATTATCAGGGAAGGAAACTGAAGTGTCTCATGTCATTCTAGGAGATGAACTTACGTATGCACCTTGGGTATATTTGCTCTAAATGCTTTGACAGCAAGAGTCTGCACAGAATTTGAAATGTTATGAGATAGCTGCGCCGAAGGCTTTGATTCAAAACATGAAGGACGTGGCTCAGGAAGGCGAACGTCTGCAGCGGAGGGCGCGGTGTGGACAGGGAGGCAGCGGAGGGCGCGGTGTGGACAGGGAGGCAGCGGAGGGCGCGGTGTGGACAGGGAGGCAGCGGAGGGCGCGGTGTGGACAGGGAGGCAGCGGAGGCCGCCGTGTGGACAGGGAGGCAGCGGAGGGCGCGGTGTGGACAGGGAGGCAGCGGAGGGCGCGGTGTGGACAGGGAGGCAGCGGAGGGCGCGGTGTGGACAGGGAGGCAGCGGAGGGCGCGGTGTGGACAGGGAGGCAGCGGAGGCCGCCGGTGTGGACAGGGAGGCAGCGGAGGGCGCGGTGTGGACAGGGAGGCAGTGGAGGCCGCGGTGTGGACAGGGAGGCAGCGGAGGCCGCGGTGTGGACAGGGAGGCAGCGGAGGCCGCGGTGTGGACAGGGAGGCAGCGGAGGCCGCCGTGTGGACAGGGAGGCAGCGGAGGCCGCCGTGTGGACAGGGAGGCAGGTGGCAGCATGGGAGGGCGATTCGGATGTGCTGAGGACGGCGTGAAGCCAGCCTAAAGCCCTGGGAGCCAGAGAACACCCATGGGAACCCCGAGGTGCCAGTGTGCATGGCCAGGTGGCATGGTGGGCCAGGTTCCATGGTGGCCTGGACACTGTCACTCTCACTGTAGAGCCCAGTCCTACAAAGGCAAGTCCCACAAAGGCAGAGAAGGGGACCGGGGCCATGGGCTTCATGAGCTCATTCACCACAGCTGTGGGCCTCAGATCCTCCACTTGCTGCTGAAGGAAAGGAAGGAACTGGAAATCTTTAAGAATCGTACAGAAGGGCTGGGAAATGTGCCCCGGGAGAGGGTGGTGGCTGCAGCAGGGCCTCCCCCGCCCCACACCTCTGGGCAGTGTTGGATTTTACTTTCTGTTCAGCAGTGTAGCTGTTGCCATGCTCACGTTACCACAGTGAAGTCACAGAAGGATGTGCTTTGGTGGTGATTCCTTTTGTCATAGTGTGGGCGTCGCATTCACACAGCTGCATGATGGGAGCTATTTTGGGAGGGAGGCTGGGGTGTGGGTGACTCATGCTAGTCCTGTAGGTGGAGGACATTAATGGACCTGTTGTGAGGAAAGTGTTTTATTAACTGAAGAGGGGCATTCTGTTGGTCTTTAAATGACAAATCGTCAGCAATTTCTTTCTTCTTTAGGTAGGTCAATGACGGGAAAAGATATATGTTTTTGTGGTGTTACATGTTTCTGTGGTGAATTTTTTCAAACCTGGGTTCCTGGCTTTGTTTTCTGTGCAGGAAGCCACACCCCGCAGCCGCGTGGAAGGTAGTGGTTCTCACAGGCAGTGACCCACGTGGAGCCCTGCGGGCCTCGTTTTTCTCTGTCCCTCTCAGTAAACCAGGAGGCTTTGCCACGAAAGCTGCACAGTCCCTGGTGGCTGGTGTGGTCCTGCAATTCCAGAAAGCCTGCGCTGTGAAGCCAGGAAGGGCTCAAAATGTGGTGTCTGCCCACAAATGAGCATCTACATATAATGCCCACGGGCTGGGCTCTGCCTAGCAGGTTACTTACTCTCTCAAGAAGTAATTACAAAGCAACAAAATTGTAATTCTGTATCTGCCAGCTGCACCCATATGAACCTCAGGATGGATTAAAGAGAGTCCATTTTGGCTGTACTTATTGTTTTCCCAAACAAAAACACTGTTTTTACAAAAATAGCAAATAATCCTTAAAGACATGGAGATGGAAGGGTTTCCTTTAACTGTGAGAATGGAAACGGCATGGATACCTGCATGGGCCTCTAACCCATGAGTGTCCACAGCTCAGACACCTTACCCACTTGTACAGGCGCCTGGATTTGTGGCATGGAGGTAAAATAACAAGATTTATAAGGAACCGTTTTGAGAAACTGAACTTTACAAACACTGTAATGTAAATTGTCGCAGTTGTGATTTCGTTTGAAAGTATTGACTCTTAGATTCAAACAGGGACTTAGCTGTTTTAGTCTAAGAGTGAATACTTTCAAATGAAAGTGACAGAGGTGGGGTTCCCATCAGGGACTGACTTTAAAGCTAAGGACCTTAGGGTGGGAGTACTTAGCATTAAAGTCAGTCCCTGATGGGAAACCCACCTGTGTCACCTTCCAGCAAGTAATGTGTGACCTTAGTCTCAGGAGAAAATTGCCACAGTTTCTTAATGAGAAGAAGAGATGAATGAAAGGCCCTGGTTCCCACAGCGCACCCCAATACAATTCCCGGTAGCTGCTTTTGGATGAGCGTTTTAGCCAGCCCTTTCTGAAGTTTTTCAGCCCCTCACCCTCTGCGAAAACTGTAGAAAGGGGTGTACGAATGTATAGATAGTGGAAGAGGAACCTCAGAGAAATACGGAGATAATTCAAGGAACAGTTGGGCTCTAAAGTCTCATGCGGGGAAAAACACCTACTTTCCAGGTTTCCAGTTCCAGGCCTGGCACTTGGGCAGATGGCCTACCCCTTTACAGGGGAAGTCATATGACTTCGGGGACAGGAAGCTCTGTGGGGAAAATTCGTCGTGTTTTCTGTCAGTATGTTCACTTATAGACTCTTTTTCCTACAGGGAAATCTTGCTTTCTGGGCTGGTAGGAAATCTTATCTGATTGCTTCTTCTGAAATGCAATCTATAGGACGGCAGTGAGGGGTTCTTTGTGTTAGCTTTGACAAAGTTCTAGGAATGGCATGAATCAGAAGGAGAAGGACAAAGCCGTCTGCGTTTCTCAGGCCACTTCTCCGTGTAGGAATCGGTCAATGCCCCTTTGGGGTCGTTTTGTTCTGTAGCTCCTATATCCATCGTTCCAGAACTTCTGCCCAGACTGCTAAAGAGCAGAATGGATTTTATTGAGAGTAACCTTAGATTTTTCTGAGGTCCCGGTAAGACCTAATGACAAAAGGCAATGGAGAAAACAAACCACGAAGGCCCAGGTGGGTACACACAGTAACTGCACACGTCACCAGGGCGATTCCATAGAACTAAATGGTGTCTCCACTTTTAAACTCCAGTGCTAAAATCCATAGCAGCCCCGGCTCGTGGTAATGTGAGGGAAGGAGGAAGCAGTTCCGAGGAGCTCCTCGCTGTGTTTCTTACCCGTGCCGCTCTCTTGCAGGAAGAAGGCGTAGTGAAGGAGATTGACATCAGCCACCATGTGAAGGAGGGCTTCGAGAAGGCAGACCCTTCCCAGTTTGAGCTGCTGAAGGTTTTAGGACAAGGATCCTACGGAAAGGTAAGTTCAGCCCTGGCTGACTCTGAGTCTCATTCCCGAACACAAAGGATACCTGGACAGAGCCCCTCTGAATGAAAATGGCAGGTGGTCCTCACCTGCAGGGCCACGATCCCGAACCTGGCCCGGTCAGAGCCATGGCCTTACTTTGCACAGTGCGGGGCTGTGCCGAGCGACAGCAGCAGTGCCATTGGAGCAGTCACGTGCACCTTTCTCCCCCTCCTACCGCCTCCCTTAGCTCTTGGTTTATCACCAAGGTGGGGAGCGTTACGGACCCTGCAATGTATCTTTGAAAGTGCATTCTAACAGCTGTTTTCCCCAAAGAAAGAAAAAATAAGAGAACAAGAAAAAAAAAACCCTTTGAATTGGGCACAGGAGCCAGGAAAGCTGGGGTCTGTCTGTAGCAGGCTCCCCTCCTCACCCTGTGTGGTCGCCTCCGAAGCCTCGGCTTCCCCACCCGCTAAATGAAACGATAAAACCTACTTTACATAGTTGTTCCTTGGAGTAAACCAAGCCTGAGTCCCACCCAGCAGTTGCCTGAGATGTATTCGTGGAGTGGGATTGTTCATTTCCTTTTTTTTTCCACCTTCGAATTGCAGCAATAAAAGCTAATTTCTTTCAGGAAATGAGAAATAGTTGGCTCTTCATTTAATGCTTCATCCACGGACAACAAGATGTCAATAATGCTTTTCAGTTACCGTGACATGTGACTTATTCCAGCACAATACTAATTTCTCTGCCTCCTTGGGTTAGCTGTTAGAAGTATATAGGCTCTGACAACTTGATTTCTGGAACAGAAGGGCCTGAAATAAACCAGGAAGCCAGTCGTTCCCTGCATGTAAGCAGAACAGCCCTGGCTCTTTAACGCAACTATTTTTGTGTAGCGTGTAGACATTTACCAAATCTTTTCATTCTTCACATGACTTTGTGCCAAAATGAATGTGGCTCTTGTTAATTTAAGTGTAGAATGAACAGGACGTTAGTGTTCTGGATAATCCTACAGACGGCATGAACTGGAACGTTTGCAGAATTTCTCTTTTGTCATGCTTGTAATGTAGAATATCTTTTTCTTTTCTCTTTCTCTTTTGTATGTGGTAATAAGGAACATGTGTTTATATGATAGGTACACAAAATACATTAGATTAAACCATAGGAAATTGCCAGCATATTGGACCTACAAAAATGGCTATTTAATAGGGTTCATATGGTGTTTATGAAATAGGGGGATGAAGATTTCAGTTTCTCACAATGTTAATCGCCATTACCAAAAAGCACAAAATCACAGAAGGCAGAGCCTGTGAAATGTGGTAGTGGAATGCCTTGCTATTAATTAGAAATGTGGAGAAAAAGAGAGAGGGGATTAATTTCTCCATGATTTGAGATCAGACAAGCGTTCTTTCCTTTTCCCACCTTTCACGGTGTTGCGGGTGTGGTGTTTCCTGAGAACAGATTCGACCTGTGTAAGCATCAGCCAAATCGTTTATCCCGAGGGAGGGAGCACTAGAGTGCGTCCCACGGGGGCGGCCCAGGAAGCGTCTGGGGGGCTTTGGTTGACTGGCTGTTACAGAGTGAATCTTGCCGGTATCCTCCTCAGAGAACTGCGGTATTAAAGACGATAGGAGAAAGGCTTTTCCAGCTCCCTCGTTCAGATTTCAAATTTTGAATTTTAATTTTGCTTTAAAAAAACATGTTTTGGAAAACAAGTGAAATCATGGCGTTTGGCAGAAGCCTGCTGGAATGAGATGTTCCTAACACTCTGTCCCTTCCCTTCCCAGACTTTTCACCACTTCCTATTTTATCTTTACTTGTGTCTTTATCATATGAGGAATTGAAAAGTAAAGTTTCAAGAACAGTGGTTAAGTAGGGAGAAGAGATGGATGAGGCGGCGGCAGTGCCCATGGGTGTCTGACCTCCAGGGATTACGGAATGGGCAGACTCCAGTGATGACTGTCCAGAGCTGGTGTGGGGGCAGGGTGGCAGGTTCAGGCTGGGGCTGGTGTGGGGGCAGGGTGGCAGGTTCAGGCTGGGGCTGGTGTGGGGGCAGGGTGGCAGGTCTGCTCCGTGGATTGATGTGAACGGGACTCTGGAAAGAAGAGTTATTATTCTCAAAAGCATTGCTCAGACATTCCCAGGGAAGGTTGGAGCTAACATCAGTCACTAGAGAGTCACAGATACAAACTGTGTTTGTCCACATAGGTCTATTTGTGGTGAGCTTTTTTAATTAAAGCAAAACCGATGACGGGGGAGAAGCCACGTGTTCCAATGCCCCACATTCCTGTATTCCTCCTCTCTACGTGCAAATAACACAACCTTATGCAAGAGTGTCTTTGCTTTTGCACCTACCACGGACAGAAGGGCAACACTGAATGTTCTCATCCTGCAGAAGGCGCCTGTTCCTCACGTTCCCACCTCCTGCCTCCACTCCAAAGAGCAAAGGCCTGGGGTGAATCTGGACGCAGTGTCACGGGCAGGCCTTGCCTGGGAGCTGAGCCCCTCAACAAGGCTCATGGCCGCCTGTCACTGCGCCACTCCATTCTTTCTCTCTTATGTAATGACAGTAATGGAGATGCAGAGAGGGATAACATGCAGTTACTTCCCTTTAGAGTTTGCCACCAGTGCCAACTTTTGACTGCAGGCTGTGCGTGGAGTGACTGTCCCGTTGCCTTGGCTGTGTGCGCTCCTTAGGTAGGCTCTCCGAAGCCACTGCTCTTTGCCTGGTCACTGGTAATAAGCTTGTTCCTGTGACAGAAGCCACACTTGCCACCAGTGGGAGGCATCTCTTTGCTCTGTGCTCAGTCCTGCAAAGGGAAGCTGTCATGCTTTCCTTGCTGTCTAGAGAGCAGGGCCATGGGTGGTACTTGGGACCAGAGAAAGGCACAGAAAACAGCCTTGTCCTCAAAAAGAAAAGCAATTTAAAACTTGAACCAGGAAAGCAATGAAACATGGGGAAGCTCGTTCAGTGTTGGAAGGAAGAATGTAAACCCAGTGCTGCCTGCGAGCTTAGGGGACAGCGGCGCGGGAACCACCAGGGCCCGCAAAGCAGCGGTGACCCTGGTCCCGCCTCACCTGCTCCTGGAGCTCCCCTGTTTGCGTAAGTGCCAGGGGTAGGGTTGAAAACCTCTTTTCCTTTCAAATATTCCGGAGAACGAACTGTAAGTTGTGATTCCTGCATTCTGAAAAGGGAACCACACCAAAGGTTGTTTTTAAATCCTTGCTTCCATGAATGGTGGCATGATAAGAACGGGTTTTTACACGTCTTCCTTTTGGGGGCAGCTGTTACCCAAAGGCCCCCGGAAGTGCACACAGGCATTCGGCTCCGGCTTGAAGGATTTTGCAGCCTGGCAGCCACCTTCTACTTCCAGAGGAAGCTGAGAATTCTGCTGAGAGAAGCTGCAGATCATGGCGATCCATGATGTCGTGAGGCAGTTCAGTGAGGTCTCGCCTGTCGCCGGGTCGCAGTTCCCACAGCGTCTGCAATGCAGCATGCCAAGCTGCTGCAGAGGCAGTTCTTCTTTTTTTTTTTTCTTTGAGGAAACGTTTCGCTCTCTGTCACCCAGGCTGAAGTGTAGTGGTGCGATCTCGGCTTACTAGAACCTCCGCCTCCTGGATTCAAGTGATTCTCTTGCCTCAGCCTCCTGAGTAGCTGGGATTACAGGTGCCTGCCACCACACCCAGATGGTTTTTAGTAGAGACAGGGTTTCACCATATTGGTTAGGCTGGTCTCGAACTCCTGACCTCAGGTAATCCACCTGCTTCTTCCTCCCAAAGCGCTGGGATTACAGATGTGAGCCACCGCACCCGGCCTGGAGAGGCAGTTCTAAAAATGAAATGAGGGGCACACGACATGCCCACTGGGTTCAGTATTAAAGACCCAGAGCCCGCGTTGGCTCAAGGTGACAGTGTTGTTTTGGAACTTATTCCAAATAACACTGTTTTTTGGAATAAAAACTGTTCCAAACTGTTTTTGGAAAAAAACACTGGTTTTTTTTGAGAGGGAAATCTTTATTATTTTCTGTATAAAAATGTCCATCAGATGAAGGTCAAAGGGGTTGGGGGCAGATGCTTATGTGGGAACAGAGTAGTCACTTTTAAGTAATTTTTCTTACCATTTTTTTCTGGCTAAACCACTGATATTAGGCACTGTGGCAAAAAAACAAAATGCTAAAGCTTCCAATTTTACTTGTGGTAGAAACAGTCTAGTCCCAGCTTTCCCTCTACCCATACCCCTCCACCCATCCTTCCCCAAAGTCTTAAGATTCTCCATCTGTAATGTGACAGGCTTGTGCAGGGGCTGCTGGGACAGGCAGAAAATAATTACAATTCCTTTAACTCTCAACATGGTGGACTTTCTATGCCACTTAAGCATTTCCAGCTATACCATTTCCTTTGCTGTCACTCACCTCAGTGTCTGGCACGATATGAGTAAATGAAGCATGATAAAGGCAACTGCAGTCTGAGCCCACCGTAGGACCTTGCTGGAGGTAAGGGGCTTGATGGCCCCTGCTCCGAGAGCCCCTGCGCTCAGTAAGTATCTAGAGATTGCCCCCCCGGGCTGCCGGCAAGTCGAGAGTGCAGAGGTCCCAGCCATGTCCCTCCGCCCATGGCGGGTGAGGCTGCTGCTCCACACAGACGCTCACTTGGGCCTCCTGGAGTCTCCATGGCACTAGACCACCTCAGAGGCATCTAGCTAGGATGGCTGGTCTTTCTGGCTTTTTGAGGCTTAGTGAAGGAGACGTTTGGGAAAGGAGCCACCCCACCTCGGCCCTCCAGCCATACTGTGTGGGCCATACCAATGCGCCTGTGACATTTCTGTCATGCAGGCAGATGTTTGCATCTATTGGAAAATAGTTTTAGGAAAATCAAGTGCTGTTTTCTTCATTTGCATGGAATTTTTTTTTTTTTTGAGACAGAGTCTTGCTCTGTCTCCAGGCGCCAGGCTGGAGTGCAGTGGCGCGATCTCAGCTCACTGCATCCTCCACCTCCAGGTTCAAGCAATTATCCTGCCTCAGCCTCCCGAGTAGCTGGGACTACAGGCACGCGCCACCATGCCCAGCTAATTTTTGTATTTTTAGTAGAGACGGGGTTTCACCATGTTGGCCAGGATGGTCTCAATCTCTTGACCTCGTGATCCGCCCGCCTCGGCCTCCCAAAGTGCTGGGATTACAGGCATGAGCCACCGCACCTGGCAGAATTTTTTTTTTATAAAGGAACTCCAGTTTTGTTTTGTTTACTAAGTTTTTTAAAAAATCACAAATGTAAATTTAAACTCAAGCTCTTAATGCCCTTTGTTGTTTTTGCAGTGATGTACATCAAAAGTATTTCAGAAAGGATTGTCAAATACCTATATTTAAGAGCCAGTTAGAAACGAACTCTTAGCTACTCACAGCTGAAATTTGGGTGAAGACAATTCAAATAAGAGCAAGAAGGTTTTCTTGAAAATGGGATAGAACTCATTTTGTGTGATTGGTAAACGTTTCAGCACAGCCTCTCGGTAGGGATTTACAGAGATACTGAAACCAAAGGTCTCCCTTAAAACTTCTGTTTATTTTTCTAAACAGCTGGTCTTCAAAACCAGGGGGTAGTATTACTTCTGATATAAAATGGAAAGTTAAGGATACACAAAGGACGTGTCTTCATACAGACACGTGGTGTTCTCCGCAAGGCCAGAGGGACTTCGAGCTTTTCCCGGCAGCCTCGATGCTGGGGAAAATTGTAGACGTTCCTACAGTGCACGTTCCTCGTGTATCCCCTTGTCAAATCCAGTAAGGAGAGCGAGTTTGAGGTCTTGCGGTTTCTGATCTTCCATTTCTCTTACGCAGGTGTTCCTGGTGAGGAAGGTGAAGGGGTCCGATGCTGGGCAGCTCTACGCCATGAAGGTCCTTAAGAAGGCCACCCTAAAAGGTAAGGGCTTCAGGAGGGCCGGCTGCTTCTGACACAGGTAACTGGAATTTCTACTTCATTGTTGGAGGAAATACTCATTCCATTTAATGGTCACAATTTCTGAAGATGTCTGAATGGGCGTGTTACTCTCTGAGGGGTAATGAACAGTGTAAGCATGTCGGTGCATATTGAGAATATCACTGCAGGGTTCTCACAATTGTCAGAGAAGAGCTGTATTACGTAAATACTTTTCTCCACGTGTGCTGCCATGAGTGGCACTGGGAGAACAGCGGCAGGATGGGAGCTGGCCGTTGGACTGGTGGTGGCACAGCAAACCAGCCTGGATTCCGGCAGGCTGGCGGCCTTGCCCGGTTTTAAATAAAACGTGACTCATGGTTGCGTCGTATTATTTCCCTTTTTTGACCCAGTGTCTGCGCGTTAGAAATACAGCCCAACTGTCATTCCAAGTTTTAAGGGAGATCCTTTTATTTATTTTAAATATCCCTCTGTAAATCCCTACCAAGAGACTGCGCTGAAAAGTATTACAAATCACACAGAATGGGCTCTATCTGATTTTCAAGAAAAGCTACTTTTTAGCTGTGAGTAGCTTAAGAGTTCATTTCTAACTGTCTGTTAAATATATTTACAAATATTTGACATTTCTGCCCAGCTCCTCTGCACGTCCATCCTGCATGTGAGGTATAAGCACCCAGCGCAGCGTTAGTCAGGATGTGATCCAAAACCTCTGTTCCAAGCTCACGGTCACTGAGCCAGTCATTAGCTGGGCACCTCCTGTATCTGTTCTGATCACCGCCTATCCACTCCATTGGTGAGAGAGGGAACTTCCCCCTGCCCTAAATAGCACAAGATGATTGAACACACAGCGCCGCGCCCTGGACAGGTGACATGACAGCAGCTTGTTAGTTACATAAGCTTGCTCCCTGGGGAGGAGGGCACCCCGGGCCCCACAGGGGCTGTACTTAGGCGCCAAGACCATGAGAGGCTTCCTAGGAACAGGAGGCGAAGTGGCCCCTGGTTCCTGCAGAAGGTGTGTCTGGCTTGTTGGAATGATTCTGTGGGCTGGCAGGGAGCTGAAGCCTAAAAAGGGTGGGTGCTGGATGGGAGCAGCTGATCCAACTTCTGGATCAGCAGGACAGGGAGGCTTCCTCTCTGGGCAGGGGCACACTTGGCAGAGCAGGGAGCTCATGTCGAGGCCTTGGGTTCCCCTGGGGCTCCGAGATGTCAAGGCAGCACTTGAATTTTTAGATCTTGCAACAGTGTCCCCAGCAACTGCAGGCAGGCGCGTTCAGGTATGTCATTCTCCGCCTTCAAGTCACTTGCCTTCTAGCCAAGGAAGTAAGATATATATTGGGAAGGACCTGTCACCTACAACAAGGACAGAAGGTGCATAGACCAAGTGCGTACAGACTTTATACAAAGGAGGAAGAGTGTTCTTCCACTGGAGGTAGTCCAGGTGGGAGTCAGGAAGTACATGGGACTCCAGGCTTAAAGGGTGGGTGAAATTTTCTACAGGGAAAAGAACTCTGGTTGACATTTGTCAGTACAACTAATGGTAAGAAAATGCAGACATGGACCACTCTGGCTAGACTTGATTAGAATGATCTGTGTGTGTTTGGGGGTGGGGAGGGCACTGTTATGAATACAGATCCAGACCCCACTCCCGACTTACTGAATCATCATTTCTTAGAAACAAGGCCTAGAATATGACTTTTCAAACAAGATGTCCCAGTAATTCTTATGTACACAAAAGTCTTCGGGGGCGTTCTACTCTATTGTAGGCATTTGAATTTTCAGTTCAGCGTTATCAAAGTAACATAATTCAAGCCATGCTTTCTAGAGTAAACATGTTTTTATTTTAGGTATAATAATATTTTTAAAACTGTTTGTCATTTGAACATTATCAGCTATTTCAAAATCCTCAAAACATATTCAAGAATGGTTCTGTGTTGAGAAAATGTACAGAAAACAGAGCAGGTTTTGACCTTGTAACCCTAACTTTTTTTTTTTGGAGACGGAGTTTCGCTCTTGTTACCCAGGCTGGAGTGCAATGGCGCAATCTCGGCTCACCGCAAACTCCGCCTCCTGGGTTCAGGCAATTCTCCTGCCTCAGCCTCCTGAGTAGCTGGGATTACAGGCACGCACCACCATGCCCAGCTAATTTTTGTATTTTTAGTAGAGACGGGGTTTCACCATGTTGACCAGGATGGTCTCGATCTGCTGACCTCGTGATCCACCCTCCTCGGCCTCCCAAAGTGCTGGGATTACAGGCTTGAGCCACCGCGCCCAGCCAACCCTAACTTTTAATAAAATAATTTCTCCAGTTACAATTATCTCTTCAAAACGGGGAGTTAAACTAGGCATTGGCTAGCTTAGGATCATCTGAATGCCGACACAGCGAACTGCCCTTGCAGTTTCTCCAAAGGTTAGCCACAGATTACCACGTGACCGGCTGGTCCACACGTAGGCGGTTAACCGAGAGAAACGAACACACCTGTCTACACAGAAACTACCGCAGGAATGTCCATAGCAGCAGTAGCCAATCAGTAGCCACAAACGGGAAAGAGCTCCAATGCCCACCATCCGGGAAATGGGAAAATGAGGTGTCTGTCTGCACAGCGGAGTATTTGGCAATAGAAAGAGAGTCCTGGCGCACGCTCCGGCATGGCTGAAGCCTGAGAAGCGCGTGCTCCGTGACAGCAGCCAGGCACCGAGCCCACCGGTTAACATGCCATTCATGTGAAAGTCCAGGGCAGGCGGGTCCTAGAGGCAGACGGTAGATGAGTGGTTTCCTAGACTGGGGGGTGAGAGAGGGGGGAAGTGAGTGCTGACAGGTCCGGAGCTGCTTTGGTGGTGATTAAAATCTTTTCAAACCCACTGTGGGGATGGTCGCACCACTCTGTGAATATCCTAAAAACCATTGAATTGCGCATTTAAATGGGCAAATCCTATGGAATGTAAATTATGTCTCCAAAAAGCTGTTTCTGTTCAGATGAACAGCTGCTAGAGAAGACGGTCATTTCCTAAAACCCACCCTTCCATCCTCAAGGCATGGAGATTCGCTCTCAAACAGAGGAGGCGTCCTCCTGTGGTTTAACTTAAAGGTAGGTGGAAGCAGGAAGCTCTCTAGCCTGTCCTCGGCCACGCACTGTCCTACTGTCCATCAGCTGGTTCCATGGTCACCTCTCCAGGGCGCCAGGAGTGGCCGGAAATAGCTCCTTCTTTGCCTTCAAAGTTGGTCTCACCCTCCCTGACCCCTGAAGGCAAGGGAGGAAAGCTGGAGTCCGTGCCGGTTCGCCCTGCTCTGGAGGAGCGCAGTGGACTGGAGGAGCGGGAAGCTGCTCTCTGTTGAAGCCATCGCTAAGCCTGGACTCCATCAGGGCTGACCTTGACCTCTTAGCTCAAGTGCAGAACTCTCCATCTCGATGACTTCACTCTCCTTGACGCAGGTGTCACCGGCTGTTTATAAGCCAATTCGTGGTGTCCTTGTGGAACGGCTCCTGATCCCCTGTTACGTGGAACAGGCTGGATATAAAACTCTGTGTACAGAATGACCACAGGATTGTTAAATGGAAGAGGGCCTGGAGCAGTAGTGAGGTGTGTGGATTTGTGAGTGCACATGAGATAGACACTGTGCCAGGAGCCAGCAGGCCAAAGCAAAGGCCAGAGTTACAGGGTTAGGCTGGCTGCTGCCTTCTTCCCCGTACTCTGTTACTGCAAGTTTTCAACAAAAATAGCATATGTCTGACATTTTGTCATATAAAGTTATTTTTAAAACATTTTGGAACAATATGCTTGAGTAAGTAAAATCATTTTTATACTGTGAAAATGAGCCATGTGGCTGGCTGCGTTAGTCACACCTGTAATCCCAGTACTTTGAGGGGTGGAGGTGGGAAGATTGTTTGAGCCCAGGAGTTCAAGACCTAGGCAACACATTAAGACCCCATTTCGACAAAAAACTTTAAAAATTTAAAAATTAACTGGGTATGGTGGCACACACCTGTAGTCCCAGCTGCTTGGGAGGCTGAGGTGGGAGGATCGCTGAAGCCCAAGACTCCAAGGCTTCAGTGGGCCGAGATTGTGCCACTGGACTCTAGCCTGGGTGACAGAGCAAGAGCCTGTCTCAAAAACAAGAGAAGAACAGAAAAATTTTTTGTTTTCTTGTGCTCCTTAAAAGTCAGGTTTAAAACGTATCACTGTTTTACATCTTTACTGTTTCAGCTTTCCATAATGATCCATCACTAAAATGTAGACATTTTTTCCAAAAATTTTATTGGAATTTATTTTCTGAAGAGAAAATAGAAAAGCTTTGTAAATAATACTTTGCATACTTCAAAGTAGGTTGGGTCCCTGGAGCTAAGCAAGACCCAGCAGAGTTATGTAGAGAGGAGACTTGGTCTGGTAAGGACACCTGCTGGCCCAAAACCTTAGTTTCTTATTTCTTTCTTGTCTGTGAAAGAAGAGAGTTGACTGGAAGGGACACCCACGTCTGTCTCAGCCCTAACACCTCCGCGTTTCATTAGCCTAAGTTGTTCAAGTATCTCCTAACCCGTTCCCCACCCTCATAATATCCCTGGTTTGTGAGATCATTAATAATCCTGAAGAATGTCAAGGAGAGAAAAGGAGTGGTAACAGCCCCAGGGATGAGTTCCACGTGCTGACAGCAGAACTCTGAAGCCCAGGCAGCCACCCAGGGAAGATGCCAGGCGCGTGAAGAGTAAAATCTTTCAAAAAAGAAAAATGCAGGGGGTGGGAGACCTGTAGAGTCATTTTGAACTGCAGCCGTTTCTCCAAACCGTGGCTGATTGTCCTGTGCAGGGAAGTGAGGCTTGTCAGTGGGATTCCTTGCAGCCCACCTGGAGGATAATGGCTTCTGACAACTCCATTTGGTCTTCAAACACCTTTGGAGTGCTGGGCACCCACCTCCTTCCTTTAGAGAGGTGTCGGATTATTTCTGAGGGAGTCGTCTGCTCAGCCGCTGAGGGGGCTGCTCTGCAGGGGTG